CAAAAGAAGGATAAAATATAACAGCGCATCGGTTTCGGAAAGTAACACCAACAACAGACAAACGTTAAGTTCCGTTTTACGTTTTAAAAATGGAACGCAAATTCGTAATGGCCAATCAATTCGTATACATTTGAAACAGAAATGTTAACAGGCCTACCCGGTGTAGGTCGACATTTCGCTGGTTCTAAATATAGAACGTGAAAAGCGCTTGTACGTATATTGGTGACATTTATACTGGGGACATTTGCAGTGGTGTTTCACTTGACCCATTCCCCTTGTCCGTGTATGGCTCTTAGCATAAGCCAGCAACTAATTTATAGCATTAATTTGATTATGTTTATCGTTTTTACTACAGTGTTCAACTAACACACCTTTTGAAATTCGATCGAACTTAAAATTTTATTTATTTCCAAAATCAGTTTAGTTTTCTTTTTTTAATTTTTTTCGTTTAACGTCCCCTAGGTAAAACTTTTAACTGTCTTATAGGAAAACATATTATATTTATGACGAAAACAGGTGAGTAAATAGTCAAACGAGTCAAGATACCAAACATCTTTAACAAAATTAAAACTAGTCTTCCAGATAACTGTGACATTATACGACGTCCGTAGCACAAAAAAGTGTAATGCATTCGAAATATAAATAATAATAAACAAAATGCAGAATTAAATTTTAAAACAATTTGAAATCAAATGTATGACTCCCGAATTACTCTGACTATGAATCGAACTTCTAATCCGTGTTATACTTTATAGTAATGTGAATTACGAACGACAACATCATTCTTCTCATTCGTACGCTCCTGACGGATTGGTTGTGATTATGTATTGTCTTATTGGTTGGTTACGGCTTTCCTAGACTTTCGTTTGATTCCTAATTTAAATAGTAAATGTCATAATGAAAAAATATTTTAAAGCCGTAACTAATTTTACGAAAAGAAATCCTTATTATTAGTAACTTTTCTACGTTGTGGTGTTTAAGAAGCTGCATATCAATACTAAATGTATTCCTGCTAGCACGTCATGTCGACTCATCCCCAACAATTATATACAATGCTCCGATATGCGACATTAGCTACACAAGTTTTTCTTTTATTTATTGGGAAAATCGACATAATTTATTATTACGCGTAAGACATATTATTATGTACAACAAACTTAGACTCAATGTTAATATCATTACCTGTAGCAGGGAAACAAGCGATTCGTATCTAGATACTATAAAAATATGTATATTACAAGTATATTCATGAAATCGATATAATTTTTTCAGACAGCCCATCTAACATTATCTTTTAATATTAAGATATATACATATATTATCGTAATCATATTCGCCTCTCCTGAAGCGTGAGTACACGCGAATAAATCAGTAGCACGATCGCTATTCTATGAGTAAATAGATGGTCCTTACTTCCGACACATGTTTCCGTGGACGCGACACAAGTAACTGGTCACGTAGAATATTGACGCCTCCAGCTATTCATTCGAAAGGGACTATACCTACGCTACGAACAGAGATACTTATAGAAATAGAAATATAAAACTCTATGGTTTTTATTTTACGTTTTATTAAATACTAGCTGGCCCGGCAAACTTTGTTTTGCCATATAAATTATTTCTAGGAAAGATAAATAGCCTAGATACCAAATGCAGTGCCATCTGCCGGGCTGATTTGTAAATCTAAACTATTCTCGAATCCACCTCAAGATACACAGAAATTTTCATTAAAATCGGTTCAGCCGTTTAGGAGAAGTTCAGTGACAAACACAAGCACAGAAGAAATATATATAAGTATTATACTAGCTGACCCGGCAGACTTCGTAGTGCCTCAATCGAAAAAGAAAAGACCTAAACTTTTGTATAAAATAAACTTAAAAAAAACAAAAGAAATCCGTCCGACTGGGGACACATCAAAGGGAAAACAAAATTGTTATTTTTATTTAATTCCGAGCGTTTTCATATTTATTTACTTTTTAAACCTTTTCTGGACTTCCACAAATAATTCAAGACCAAAATTAGCCAAATCAGTCCAGCCGTTCTCGAGTTTTAACTAATGAACAGCAATTCATTTTTATATATATAGATAGATAGATATTAAGAATGCCTCCCTTTCAAAAAGCCCCGTTGGTCTTGGGTGAACCCAAGAATTTGCTTGTCGCCATTTGTGCAAATCGGTGCTAGGAGCGTTGCAGACGTCGCGTCGGGAGTTGAAATCACTTAGAAGCCTACTTCGGGTAGCGGGAACTTCTAAGTGCGAACGAAAATCAAATTAATTCTATTTATAACATGAGATTGATTTTGTTTTCCGAACGATGAACATTAAGTTAATATCAAAGTTTTCTTTACAAAATTCCTTTGATTTAAAACGATCGAAAGTTATTTCTCGTTGTTGTTCTAATGAGGTTTTTGTTGTATATTTATAAAAATTAATGTACCATTTTTTTATAGCATATACAAATGTCTGTACTTTGTACATCCCCTCTCTTACCATAGGTGCTGTATAAGCAAATATAAGGTTCACAAAAGTATGGTAAGCGGCGTTCATAATTATAGTATGGTGGTAGCTCCTCTTGTGAGTCCACGTGGGTAAGTACCACTACCCTGCCCATTTCTGCCGTGAAGCAGTAATGCGTTTCGGTTTGAAGGGTGGGGCAGCCGTTGTAACTATACTTGAGACCTTAGAACTTATATCTCAAGGTGTGTGGCGCATTTAAGTTGTAGATGTCTGTGAGCTCGTCCACCCATCTAATCAATAAAAAAATATAAATAAATATCAGCATTCTGGGCATAAAGTTAGTTCACATAAATAGGTTCCACTATCCAAATAACCAAAAATTAAATGTCTAAACTGTAAATTCTTCATAAACATATATTCTAAATCATTCAAACTGGAATATTAAGAAATCACTAGAGAAGTTATGTATCTGAGAATGTTTACTCTTAAAACTTTTTTCTTTATTCTGTTATTGTTCAGCCAAGTCGTAGACATAATAAAAACAATTGGTACAGTCTAACCTACGGCTTAATTGTTTTCTTTTTACAATTTCAAATACTTTACAGTTTTAATTGTCACAGTTGAATAAAGTTTTAGTCGTCAGAATCTGTATGTTACCCTAACCCGTCTTATAATAATAATAAGTCTGTACTTCATAAAGTAGCCGTTTTATAATAGTGGCCATTTGACACATAATTTAGGTATGAAGGAATTAATTTCTAAATTCATACGAATTTTATTAAAAAACTACAGAATCCTATTTTGAAATTCAGGATATTGTTTATTGATTATTGCTTTGTTTTCACTACAGTAGATGGGGGTAATAGAGACTAGTTAGAGTAGGGAAAATCTAGGATGTCAAAATACTTTTGTTGAGTTGTTAGATTAAACTTTTTTGGACTGAAAATTACTTTTATTTAGTGTTTAAGAATATTAAATAGTTTAATTTAGTCATCAAAGTTTTGTAACTCATTAAAGATATTAAAAAATCAATTACCTAAAGTTAGGTACTTACCTAACAACTAAATAGTGCAAGCCCTTTCGAAAAACTCTATTGTCCCCAAACATAACCTGATTTACTCCAAAGCCAAGGTGAATCGGGTCAAACAAATTTTTTCAGTTTTTGTGTATATTTTGTAATGAACTAGGTATAATAACGCAGCGTATATACATTTATTATTATTATTACCCTAAGAAAAACCATTGAAAATTTGTGTTGGATTTGGAAAAGGTCCCAATTCCCCCAATCTACGGTAAATTAGTAACTTTTATATGGACACGATAAAAATACGAGTAATTACGGGATACGAGTTCCATCGCAGTAGCAATACCGCACAAATGGCTGACAGCATTAATGAAGTGTACGAAGGGACCACTACAAACGAACGTACGACTCGTTATTAGTGTGAAAACTTCCGATATGGAAATTTTGATCAAAAATTTGCTCCATCGTCGACAAAAAACTAAAATCAACAACGACGAATTAAAGGCAATAATGGAAGTCGATGATACTAAATATTCCGCTGAGCTAGTAGTATCTTTCAACGTAAGCATCAAAACAACATTGGTCCATTTTCGTCAAATTGGCAAGGTAAAAAAATTATAAGTAGGTGTCACACAAACTCAACGATCGCAGTGCGCCGAACACATTAAGACATGCCTTGCATTGCTTAACAGACCCAGAAACGGGGGGATTTTGAACCGCATGCGATGAAACATGGATTATTTTTGATAATCGTAATTGGTGATTATTTTAGATATTATAGTTTTACTAAGTTTTACCTTGGCTTAGGACCCAGATAATGCCATAAACTTACCCCTACGAAAAGATTTCAATCCCCGAAAGGCAGTAAGTAGTTTATGCCTTTAAAGTGTTTGTTGGCTTCCGTACACCTGATTTCTTCAAGAAGGGCACTGAATCATTAATTACCGCTACGCTGACAGAGATGCAGTGATACCACGGATCCATATTTTGATTGATAGAAATAGAAAATACTTTTAATATTTTTTGTATACTAAACGGCAACTTCATAGGTAAAGACCATATTTAGAAAATATTATTGAAATAGAGGTTAGCTTAACTTGAAATTTCATTTTAGAGATAACAGAAATCTTTGTGTCCACTATATTAACAGTAATTATGAAAGCTGTAGTCGACACATCAAAATTATAATAATCGGACTAATACGAGTAAGGTTCACGCACTGGTTGCGGGTCCAAGCTAAAACTTCTTAAGGCTCAAGCTATAATATTCACTGAGAAGCTTGATATTTTTTTATAACTATCCTCTACCGTAGTATTTATTACTAATATACAGAAAAAAAATGACTTTAGTTGTCGGCAAGACAAGAAACGGATAAGAAAGCGACCCCAACAAGGGACCCCCTTGCTTTTGCATTCGAGGACCGGACCCTAAAAAGAAAAATAATAAACGCGAAATTAAGCTGTAAAAGTAATTTTAGCTATACCTGTATAACATTAGTAATAATAAAAATTTGTTTCAGCCTTAGGTCTAGAACCGGATTTTCTTTATCCTTTGGAGAACGTGACGATCGCACAGGGGAGGGATGCGATGTTCACATGCGTGGTCAATAACCTGGGTGGTTACAGGGTGAGTGGCGACTCCGCCACGGCCAGGGTGTGTATCAAACTAACTCATTACAGCTACCGATAGAGAAGCACTCTCACTCTGCACTCCTACGTTTAGATCTATAGCTCGATATTTAACATAACAAATATAAAACTATTGCTCAGGAAGAAATAAGCCTAAGCCGCTTGACTAGAATCTTTCTTTCGAAAAGTTTTTTTTTACTGTTTCAGATTTCAGAAATGAATTTGCTTTTTCGTACAACTTATTTTAAACAATTGATGAATCTATCACCCAAAAGCTACAGATCTAAACACATAGACTTCCGCACTTACTTTCACACTTCTTTAGCACACAAACTATGATGCACTTCTTCGGAATTCTTCCAAATCCACTCGCACTTAGTACCTCTCTCTCTCTATCTTAGTATAGAGTACACACAACTATTTTGCACCAAAATACTTTCCTACACAATAGTAGTAGAATTAGTCCTACTCCGCACAACTTGCACTTGACAGTAATTGTGTATCTGCACCTGGAATAGTAATTAAGGAACTCAAAACGAATATCTTTGAATAATACGAAACAAATAATAACTAAGTTCCTTAGTATTCGGAAGCAAAAGAAATGCGCATGCTCTTCCCTGACGCACATAACAATTGTTTAGACTTTTTTTATTATTATTTATGTTTTATGCAAAAGCACTTAGGTGATCAATCTTAGCCAAGTCGATCATTGTCACAACAAAAACCGCAAAAGCCAACACGATGAGCGGCGTTTCGTTCGAGGCGAGAATTTAAGTTGCAAAACAGTCACTTTGCGAAATTAAAATTAAGCCGTAGACAAACCCCCTTGGTCCCCGTTCAATCATTTCAAGAGACACTGCTCTCAAACTGTCCCGAAAGCTAATCTAGGAGACTAACGCTGTTACGTTTAACATCGCTTTAAATGTGAAATAATATCACACTGATTTTACTGACGACCGTCTGGTGTAGTGGTAAGTGATATGGTCACTACACAAGGGGGTCGCAGGTTCGAATCCCGCCAAGGGAAGATATTTGTATGATAAATATAAATGTCTTTTCCAGGGTTATGGATGTATATTAAATTTATGTATGTGTATAATAAAAATCTTACATTTATTTCCGTTATCTGGTACCTGTAACACAAGTTCTTTACGAACTTATCATGGGACCAGTTAACGTGGCGTGATTGTAAAGTAAAGTAAAGTAAATATTTATTTATTTATTTACCTTTTTCTACACGATAGTTACAGAAGTAAATTCGAAAAGTTTTATATATCGAATTTATTAAAAAAAAATTAAATGTTTAATTGATCGCAATATGAAATAAGTTCAATGCCCATGTGATTTGAACCGATACAGACAAAAACAAACGGTACCATAAAGAAAATATAAGTATTTCGCGAATCGTGTGCAAGAAACAAGATTCGAAAATAGTCTCTTTGGGACTGTTCGGTTAGGCTACTCGATTTTCTCGCGATACATCTCGAATGAACTCTTCTTTATATCGATTTCACGTGAGTAATTACTCAAGAGCAATAACTTACCCATCAGATGCACAGTATTCCCGAATGAATAAAATTCCAATCTCTTTTGAACTATCCTCCACTTACAATTCACATTTTTATATTTTACAAACATCTCTATACATGTTACACGTCATTTTCTAACAAAAAAATACGATAGATTTCGATATGCACCGCTGGTATGGATGAGTTCAATTGGTAAATATGTTTTGGTTATATTTTCTTACAAATATTTTATTTAAACGAAGTTCAATCTGCGATGTACTTTCAAAGATTATTTTTATCATTGAAAATACACCGTAGCTTTAAATTACTTTGAAGTTTTATGAACGTTTCTCTAATAATTCAAGTTCTTGAGTAATTCTGCGCCAGAGAAACGCTTGTACAACCATTATTGACATTAAGCAAATTTTAGTTACACGCACCAAAATCTTACTCTGTCTAATATTATGTAGATATATTTCAGAGTGTATGCACTGATTAGCGACAAGTTACTTTTGGAGCACTGTGAGCACTATTCTTGATCTCTCTTGTAGTGTCTTCCTTTTCCAGCACCTGTATTAGTTCACTGTACCAAATAATTTAATTTAATTTATATATAATTTTTTTTTAAGCGTAACAATAATTTTAAATTATTTACAAGTGCTAAGTAAGTATTTTTTTTAAAAGTTGTCGTCTCTAACATAAATTGCCCACAATAAAAGTTCGAGTACCACAAAGTAGGGTAAACGCTACATTTTTGTTCGGGTTTTTTACTACGCGCTATGCAGGAAATTAGCTTCTATTGCAATGTCGACGCTTTTGGTAAAACGGGTGGAACGAGGGCGTTTTCAACGCGCCCGCAGCTAGCCTCATAGCGGCGACCAAACGAAAATGTAATTAAAAATTCCGAGAGCATTTCGCGCGGCCCTCGCTACAAGATAGTGTTGCTGGCACTCGAGGATCGTTGCCGTGACTGCCTCTCGGGAAGCATTTGCTTGTAATTAGACTTGTTCGTTGCAAAGTCTTCATCGCTCGTTTCCAAAACGTCGTATAATATAAATAACCGTAGTGAAAACGATGCCTTTCGAAATTAGAGTTCCGTACACTTGAAACGTTTGCAATTTCTCGGGGTTAATGTTGAATGTGAATTGTTACGGGATGTAGGTAGCGTGGATCAAGGCGGACACGAAAGCTATACTGGCAATTCATGAGCACGTCATCACGAACAATGCGAGGCTGAGCGTCACACACAACGATTACAACACGTGGACGCTCAATATCAGGGGCGTGAAGCGTGAGGACAGGGGACAATACATGTGCCAAGTCAACACTGACCCTATGAAAATGCAGGTACAGTATATTTTTATTTGAAATACATACAATAGAGGAAAAGGGAAACTGAAATACATTAGTTTTCCCTTTTTTTTAAATATTTTATTTGAAGAAACGTTAATTTAGACATTTTATTATTCAGGAAAAAATTCCTGATTTTAATTTTTTATTGTAATACAATTTATGTTATTCTATACTTTTATGTGAACGAAAGTATTCGTGAAAATTATAAATTTTTGAATAAGAATGAACATGGTACATAAAGGGTTTACCTACTTTCTCGTATTTAACTTCAGTAGTAAAATAATGTTAAATAGCCAAATTAATTTTATAAGGTTACATTAACATTACTTAATTTTATACTTAAGTTCTACTTAATTTGCTTTTAGACTGCATTTTTAGAAGTGGTCATACCACCGGATATTGTTTATGAAGAGACTTCGGGCGATATGATGGTACCCGAAGGGGGTTCAGCTAAACTAGTCTGCAAAGCTCGAGGCTATCCGCCACCCAAGATCGTCTGGCGTAGAGAGGATGGTGGGGATATTATATCTCGAGGCGGACCGCAAGGAAAAACCAAAGGTAAAATATTTATTACTAATTACTATTGTAATTTTTTTTTCTTTCAAATCCACAATCCAGCAAATTTAAATGACGATTCTTTTTCATTCATATAAAATAGAAAAGTCTTCATCTTCTTCCTTTTAAAGTCAGTTACTTTATATTTGATTTGTTATTACTGATATACTGAAAAGGCATCCAAATTGATTTGAAATTATTTTCATTTTTGATTTAGATTTTAAAAAAACGTGTTATAAGTTTTACGAATTTACGGTTTTGTGACTTCGGAAACATTAACGATTTATTTACTGGGATTAAATAAATCAATGACTATACAATAATACTGATTTTTACGAGATTTGTCATTTGTTTCAAAACACTAAATTAAAGCAGTTTTTTTAATAAGCAAGGCAAATTTACGAACCTATCAATAACATTCGTGTGCTAGATCCATATTATTCTTATTTCGTATGTGTGTCCCAGAACGCTGCGACCCCTCACTTTTCGCCACCACCCTCTTACCTACTTTCGGTGCCTAGAAAGCAATCACAAACGGCGTTTTAAGGATGTCTTAAGTGTGCAACGGCATACAGGCTTCAATGACCATACACGATACTCCTCATATGCCCTCTTCTTCGACGTCGCAAAAGAGTTTGGCAAAGTCTGGCACAACGGTATGATTTCCAAACTATTCAACATGAACGTGCCAAGCAGGCTCATGCTCATCATACGGGACTTCTTGTCGAACCGCTCTTTTCTTTTTCTTTTCACGGCTGGAGTCCTGCAAGGCTCCGTCCTCTCTCCGCTCCTATATAATTTATTCATTAATGTCATTCCCTGGTCGCCACCGACCCAGTTAACTTTACTGGTGACACGACTGGGGTAGAAACAAATCCCTAATCGCGAGCAAACTCCAAAGCGCAGCCGTAAACCTAGGACAGTGGTTCCGAAAATGGCGCACAGACATCAACCCAGCGAAAAGCACAGCGATGTTATTTCAAGGGGGAAACTTCACATGGACTTCCTCTCGGATTAGGAGGAGGATCCTCACATCCCGATTACTATAATCGGCCAACCCATACTCTGGGCCAGGAATGTCAAGTACCTGGGTTTCACCCTGGATGCATCCAAGACATTCCGCCTACATATAAACTCAGTCCGGCCGCGTTTATTCCTGACAGACTACCCCACGATCTGTAAGGGGAGTAAAATGTTCCTTCGGAAGATGTTGACACTTTACAAAACTTGCATAAGGCCAGTTATATCTTACGTGAGTGTGGTGTTCGCTCACGTAGCTCTCACACGCATAGGCACCCTGCAGTCCCTACAATCCCGTTTTTGCGAGCTCTGTGGTTCATGAGGGACTTACACGACGACCGTCATAATAATCGTCTTATCGTTGCCGCCGCTGACTACTCCCCGAATCCTGATCACGCAGAAGCCAGTCACCGTCTACGCTCTGAACACTTCCTTAAGGATCCATCATATCCAATGACTCTTGCATTAGACACTCCAGCACTTGCGCTAGGTTAGGGCTTAGGGACCCCGGTAACCATACTCGTCGAACACGTCGATTAAGAGTTCGATGTGCAGCCTAACCCATGCATCAGCCCGCTGAGTTTTTCGGCGGATCTTCTCAGCGGCTCGCGATTCCGATCTGGTAGTAGATTCATTCGTGAAGTAGCTGGTCTTGAATTTTTAGGTCTCCTTCGGAGGCGCTCGAGCAGCTGTTAGCTAATCCCACCCCTCCTGGCTGGGCCTTTGCTCGCAAACCTGTCTTGGTTGTAATTAGAAAGGCCTCCGGGCCACCAATAATCGTTCAAACATAAAAACTCCTCGCATATAATATCTTAGTAAAATCTCATTGAATCAAACGAATCTTTAAACAAACGAGTCTTCCTTTAAAATATTCAGTATTGGTGCTGAGCAGTAAATCAGACCGCGCCACATTCCGAACTATTACCATTCACACCGCCCTTTCTAATCTCGACGGATTAAGATCTTGAAGCGGTCTTCGAATAATTACTTGCCTACTTAACCTATAAGCTAGAGACAATAATACTATAACAAAGACTCCTCGTCTTTTTGGTGTGAAACATGAACGAAATATGTACGTCTACTTATTTTGTATTTGCGTAAATGGGCAGGATCGGAGAATGTTTGTAAGGTTATATTTTTTTTATTTTTTTTTTATTGCTTAGATGGTTGGACGAGCCCACAGCCCACTGGTGTTAAGTGGTTACTGGAGCCCATAGACACCTACAACGCAAATGCGCCACCCACCTTCAGATATAAGTTCTAAGGTCTCAAGTATAGTTAGAACGGCTGCCCCACCCTTCAAACCGAAACGCATTACTGCTTCACGGCAGAAATAAGCAGGGCGGTGGTACCTACCCGCGCGGACTCACAAGAGGTCCTACCACCAGTAAGTTCTAATTAGGATAAGACAAAAAAGCGTCAACATCGACGGCCATTACATAACTCATCTTCGATTTGCCAACAATATCGTGATTATGGCTGAGAACTTGGAGAACCTCAATAAAATGTTCAATGACCTCAGAAGAGCTTCTGTTGGAGTAGGCCTTGGAATGGCAATGAACAAGAGGAAAATTATCCCAAATGCCCATGTGATACCCCCTCCAGTAAACTTCGGAAGCTCTACGCTGTTGAAACATAGCTGTATAGAAAGAGATCAATTGTTGATACCAACTAGGATGAGCAGCATTCGGAATGCTAAGCGAAATCTTCACTTTTCAAATACCGCATTGTCTCAAGATGAAAGTCTTTGATCAGTATATATTGTCAATTATGACATATGGCAGTGAAACGTGGGCCTTATCAGAAGGCTAAAAGTCACTCAAAGAGCAAACTGAGAAGACTATGCTTGGAGTTTCCCTACCAGATCGAACCAAGAATAAAAACATTCAGAGAAGAACCAACTGACTTAGAACGATGGATTATGAGGTTGACGGGTCAGTATTCAGAGCACATTGCTCAAAGATTAGACGGCCACTATTACTGAAATGTTCTCTAGTGTCGACGATACCGGAAAACGCAGTGTTTTTTTTTGTTTATTGCTTATATGGGTGGACGAACTCACAGCCCACCTGGTGTTAAATGGTTACTGGAGCTCATAGACATCTACAACGTTAATGCATAACCCACATCAAAAAGTGTGGGAGACATGTCATTAGGTGGACCGATGACCTGCTTAAGGTCACGAGAATCCGCGGAATACGAGCAACGCAGGACCGGTCCTTGGGGCTCCTGTGGCTATCGTGCCTATGTACAGCATTGGACGTCTGTGGATTGATAATGATGATGATGATTCTGATGAATATCGGCAGGCAAGCTCATAGGCCGTGGACTACGTGGTCTAAAAGATGACCGTAGACATCATTGCAACAACGGTAGCCCCGCTCTTCAGAAAGATGTATGTTTCGCGGCAGGAATGGGAACGAGACTAGTAATACAACACTTCTTACCAATAGTGCTGAATGTTGGAAAGCATTAGGTTAGCTTAGCGAAAAAAAAAAGTGGAAACAATAGTGAAAATGTTAATAACTCAAAGCTGGGATCAGAAACTTGTATCTGCCGATAAGTAGGTACACAGACTTATATTATGAAAAATCTTCTTGTATCCTCAATTAGTAAAATAATGTTTGTGCTCTATAATTTATTTAAGCTCAGCAATAAAATCTACAAAAACTTATTAACTAATCAGTTCACCATGCCTCTCTGGTACCGAAAAAAGAAAAAATCATTCAATTGATTCAATCGATAAATTTATCATAACGTAAATATTAATAACAAAAAATCAAAACAATATTTTACTATAGGACACAAAGTTACTTTGAAATTCGAACTGAACGCAAAAATTATACAAGGGGATTCGTGACGAGTGGCAATTGGAAACTGTACTGACAGGGTGATTAATCAGCTGCTCCCACTTAACCCTGGCACTGTTCAGAGCTCCTCTTGCCATCAGTCAATTCATTAAGCTAACAAAGTACTACCGGTAATGACTTTCACAACGGAGCTCTATGCTACACTTAAGATATCTCAGGCTTTCCATTCCATGCGTCTAATACAGCCAAAATAACGTTCACCTCAAACCCAAATCAATTTGAAGGAACTCGATACGCATCTAGTATTACTTAATTGAGGGGGGATAGCAATATGAAACGCCACCTCGAACAATTTTAAATTACAAACATCAATAACAGTCATCAATTTGAGTGAAGAAGTCTAATTAAAGAAGCCGTTACAAGTTACCTCCATAAATCTGAGTAGAAAACAATACAGGCTATCCATTACCGTGGCCAATATTTCTTCAGGAATATTCCGATGAGTAAAGTTCGAGGGGCGACTGACTGATATAGTTTTTTAATGACCCTGCTCTTCGGACCAATTTCTAATTTATTAGTTATCGCTTTTGTGTACCTAGAAAACACGATATTTTATGAAGTTTGTAAGTAGATTTGTTGATTTAGTCGAATAAATCAACGTCATATTTCTATGAAATTTATCAATTAGTTTATTTATTTCATAAATTAAATGTTAAAATATACTTGATAAGTTTATTTAGTATCCAATTGACCAAATAATTTCTTACAAAAGTTACATAATATGTCGAACAAAAGACAAAATTCCACAACAAATCCGTCCAACGAAATTCGTGTAATCACAAATTCGTGTAATTACATATAATACGGACAGAAAACAGTAGCGAAAACAAAGAGGTATTATTCAAAATTTACTCTTTTGTGTTTCGAATGAAACATGTTACTGGTGACAACGCCGTGTCGTGTGCCTATTTGTTTCATGTTCTACACCAAATTATGCAGATAAGCGAATGAATGGTGGATGGAAACTTAGTCGTGGAGTGATGCAAATTAACTCCGCTATCCTCCCGTTCGACGCTTTTCATTTACCTCGCGGAGTTTCAAACAAATACGAGTAGATTCTCGCTAGTGCTACCGAGATTCACTATCCATTATTGACTAACTTTGCAGATATTTAATTAACGTTTCGTATTTTTGATAAAAAAATTCCCAAAGAGATGCTGCATGGACATCTCTCTCTATCTATAAATCTTATATAGACGTCTGTACATGTTTCCATGAAATGTGCCTAAAATGACCCAACAATTTCAATGAAGAATTCAACACATTTGAAAGGGTTGTTAAAGAAAAATAATCAAACCCTAAAAACTACGAGCAGTTTTGATACAACTGTACTAAGAAGATAAGTCAACACTCTCACGTTGATTGAAGTCAATAGCTACCACACCCACTCAAAAAGAGCACACTTCAAACCTACAAGCCTACAGCTACTTGCTTAATTAAAATTATCACTTTTGAACGAAGAACGACAACTAAAATAAATGTTGCCATTCCATTTTACTTGAGAACACTTCACAAAAGTCCGCCAATGCTTTTGTTGCCTCTGGGATCTCTGGGAATTTTGAAACAAAATTCTTTAAAAAAATACGTTATCTATGGCTGTGTTTATTTACGAGTTGAAAAATGAATTAAAAAACTAGACAGTGGTACTACATAAAAAGAAGTTTTGCTTTTAGTTTTGAAACCAAAATTTTAATATAAAAGTAGATGAAAATTCGACCGTTAATTTCTATCCCATACAAAGAAAATGACAGATAAAATCAGTTTAAGCGCCTCCCCTTGGCTTATGACACATCGACAAGCCAAAGTTATTCGACGGACCGCTCAAAGGGTGTTCAAAAATTCATGGAGACGACTTATCACATAAATTAAAACTAATTAATATTGGTCGCAGCAAGTTTAATGAAGCATCGCAAATAAAAAGCTAAATAAAGGAATTGATTAACTTTAAAATGTAAAAAGGTTACTACTGGAATATATTTTGCACAATATTTCGATGTTCTATTTATTAAAAGTAAAAAAGTGCAATTACACTAGAATTTTAAATCAATTCATTTTAGATCTATTAAATTATCTCTACAAGTAACACCAGCAGAAAATTAATTACTCACTTTCCTTTCACTTTGTTAAACATCTTAAATTTTCAATATTCCCGAGACCAATAGCCACTCCACAGCACTCCTAGTTCGCGCATTGTTTGCTAACGAACCGTCGTTCGACAGAGACCAAGAGCTCTTCACTTTAAACCATCAACGCTTCCTCCCTCGGAAAATATTGCCTCGGCTTTTTATCCTCTTGTTTGAATAATGGCTGTAAACGCACTCGGGTGCCATTTTAGAAAGGTGTCCGGATAACAAGTCAAGTTCAAACCACTAACGGCACTTGTTTGCTTAACCCGTCAACTTTTGGTGGACCGAAAAGTGTTTTCCAGTTATTGTCGAAAAGTAAAGTAAGCACTAGAAGAGATGGGAGTTGAACCACTTCTTGGAACAAGTATTAAGAAGTCGTTTTCCGTATATCTAGTCGAGTCTCTGTACAGCGCTTGTCTAGAAGTACCTTACTTCAACTAGGGTTGAGCCATTTAGATATTTCGATATGGCGATTTTAAGTAAATATGTAATTTTTCACATACCAGCCGTATTTTTTGTGCTTTGGTCTTTAAAAAAGAAATAATTTGTAAATGCCGATACCTCTTACATGATGCTAGTCAACCTACATGTACAGATATAGGACTTCTATCTCCAAAAGCTACAACATTATTGATTCTGCACCATCAAACCACGCCCGTGATTGTAACATCATCCTTGATTTCCAACACAACTCTTGCACTAATGTTTACTTGAGTACAAAGGGCAGAGCGTGTTGTTAGCCGACATGGGGTGACAAAGGTTGACAAGTTGCCTTAGAATAAAGCTTCAACCTAATGTCTCAAGGCGAGCGACAACATTGACGTTGTAACATGACCTTAGATTCTGTCAACTAAAAAACGAATTATTAATCTTTATATTAATCTAATGATAATATTTTGAACAGTGACATCACTGGAAGGTGAGATAGTGAATCTAACAAAAGTGACCAGATCAGAGATGGGTGCGTATTTATGCATTGCAGCCAACGGAGTACCTCCTTCTGTCAGCAAAAGAATCATGCTTCACGTTCATTGTAAGTATAGCGATAAAAGTTTTCTTAGAAAAAAAATATCGTATTTCTTGTGAATTGATTTTGATCTTCGTATTTATCTGGCATCTGCTATCCTGTCTCGATCTGTCTTATTTTTTTCCATTTTTAATGATATTTTTGAAATTAAGTTCCTTATGGGACGATGCGGAGGGGTACCCTAACCGGGAAAAAACGTCCGTAACGTAAGATTTTTATTAGTAATGCACACAATGTACGACTTAACTTTGTAATAACTTACAAATTAGTAATGCAAACAGTGTACGACTTAACTTTGTAATAACGTACAAAAAATAACATATTTTTTTATCATTCATTGACCACGATCTCAGAGCGTTCGTTTACGCAATAGACTAACTCTTATGCAAACAACCGTGAATGAAGTGTACCAAAATAAGTTCGCACGTTACCGAATGACCGTGGGTTGTTGCGAAACCTCCAGTTTTATTTTTTTTTATACCTCGAATAGACCTTAAAATGAATATTTTTATAATAAGGAACTTCGTCCCTATCCGGACTCCCACGACACCACACATCTTTTTTTGCTTTCAACGTCTTCCTCTAAGTATTTGTTCAAGACTAGTCTTTAGAATATTTTTTGAAATTCATAGAAATGGGGCCTCTCGATTACCAGGGAAAGCCGAACGGTAACGGTAACATTACATATTCTCAACATGTATCAATTCAATCATCGATAAAGTCTACTCACCTGCGTAGAGCGAGCAAAACCTGTACCGAGCTCACTTATCAGACGATCCAACGGTTAATTTATAACCAGGAGTTATTCAATGCTCGGTTACGTGGAGAACACCGGCGCGCCCGACGGCTCCAACACGTAAGCAATTGGGAGATTTTCGTGTTATCACGTATCATCTTCGGTGCGTGTCTTGCATAGGAATTACGACGCCGCCTGTAGTCGACGGGCCGTGTTTAGTGAAAGTTACTGCCTCGTTGACTATCGGAATTTAATTTCGACGGGGTTTATTTTCTCTCGGATATCTGTTCAAGGTTTGATTTTCGATTCAATTATTTTTCGATTGAAATTCAAGATTTTGATTAGCATGTCTTCCAAACTGTTTAGGATCACTGAATCATGATTACTTCCACTTAAAAATTTAAAAAAAATCATACCTTGAGAATTACTGACTAATTCAATCAGGCAAATAGTTTTCAAGCTCAACGATGAAATAAGAAAATTGACATCGGCCGATTTAATTTTGTAAATACTTTTCATTGTAATATTAGAAGCTTACATGCTCAGAAAAAAAAACATTTTAAAAAAATGTTCCAAGCATTTTTGAAAAACTTTTTGGAATGTCTTTTTAATTAATTCTGAGATGCACTGTTGAACGCCATTTTTAATACGCTTTTATTAGATTCATTTGTTTTTCTTTTAATGAAAAAATAATGTTTCGATGATGTTGAGCTAAGCACAAGTCAGATAAACATTAAATAAAGTTCAGTATATTAAGAAAATTTAAGTATGACTGCGCTGACTGTATAAGTTGCCGATATCCTTTAACTAAAAATTAATTGAAAGAAATAGCTCTTTTTTAATAGGAAAAAAATATATTTAACGCATATTTACATATAAAAATGTAATTAAAGATGCATCCAAATTAAATGTACAAAAGCTAGTTTAACTTATATCTAACGAAATTATAAAATATTTATAATAAATTATGTTCATGTATAATGGCTTAGTTTACTATATATTACTACGAATAAAATCAACCCGAGGATACACTAAAAATCACGCAGACCAGTATTTTTTAGAATAAAAGTAACTTACATAAGCTTATCCGTCTTACTGACACATAAATCTAAGTATTTGCTAAAACTCATGTTATGCTATTATTATTACGTAATTTAACATATGAGGTTACTTTTATAAGAAATATAATTTAACTTCTAGTTTTTTTGCATTATCATCGGATACTCTGAGCTATAAAGTTGATATTTGAGTCGTTAGAAGGCTATTTGAGTCGCTAGGCTTAGAAATGTACTCGTATCGAACGATGCACCCAAGTTCAAATTACACAGCAATTTGTGTAATTACTATACAATTGAGACATAAACCTCAAGACTCAAGGTGAGGCTGCATTTACATTGTGATATCTATGGAGTCCGCAAACCGCTTAACACCAAGCGGGCCGTAAACTCGTTCACCTATCTATGCTAAATCGATATTCAAAACTCGACAATTCGAGTAGACTTTTAAAAAGGCGAGTTACTAAAACGTGATTAAAATGTATTGTAGACAACAAAAAAAACTCAATGCCGTAACGCACGTCTACAATCCGCTACGATATTTCGTAGCAGATCCCCTGGCATCGTAACCATGTCGTAGCATCGTAACGTTTTAAAAGCAACGGTTAGAAAAACTGCTGACTTGAAACGTGAGAGTAAATAAAGTCACGGACGAGAATTTAGGGCGTATATTAAATAGCTTTATCAACGAGTTCTTTTCTTTTTTTCTTCGAAAATTTACATTACTCCTACGTTAAGGCCGTATCTGCCTATTGAAACCAATAAAAGCTCATTCGTTTACTAAATTGAAAACATAAACGGTCCAACGTAGTGATGTGTATTAATAATCCAAATTACAATGTGGTGTTTCACAGAAGGATTATTACCTATACCGAACATCGGCACTCAGACAAATTAATCTCTATGCGCCGTAATCGACCGGTTGCACACCGGTAGATCGCGAAATTTCTACAGAAATGATGCACTGCATACAGCAACGGCCGCCATTTGCATGGATAGTGTCCACTGGGGATAACACTCTGATCACTCTGTGGAATCCTGAAACTCGGTGACATTGTAACTATCGATGACGTCACAGATAGTTATGAACAATGGACCATAACTGCTCTTAATAATCGTTCGAGCGGCTAACGTTATTATTACTCTTTTAGCGCAATAAAGATTCCAATTTTAAAAATTCCCCCAATCCATCAGAATTTTTGTCAATAAACCATTCCATCATGAAAAATGTCACTCATACTTTTCGTGGGTACTTCGTTATTTTATACCAGCAATTTTAGAACTGAGATCGATCGGATAAAACACTGGTATTATTTTAGTTGAGTGCGGGCTTAAACTTTTTGATTGTTAAGCAGCCACCAGTTCCGAACTGCTGCCGGCTGCGTATTTGCATTATGTTATTAGCAGTTCTGATGCTGATAGCATACGACTGATTGGATGGTGCGTTCACATACTACGAGCTATTTCATTATTTGAGTTTCGATCGAACGTGGATTACTCGAGAAGCGGATTGTTTATACAAAATTTTTTAATGTTTTTTTCTAGAAAGGTCACGCCTACACACTAATATGATTAAGTCACCTTTTACTTATAATTTTTTATCGGGTCATTTGCAAACATCTATAGTATTATTGAGTTACCTATATTAAAATTAAAAGGCTAAAGAATCCAACCTTAGCAACAGAAATAGCGGACGATTGAAACAATCATTTCATGGATCCCCCCTAAAGCAAACAGCGCGAAGTCACACTTTACGACAACAAGAGAAATTCACTTCATAGGAAACGCAATTTGAAGGCGAACAAACAAACTACTACCGTCTGAAAACCCTTCCACTCAGTTTAATTACTTCACAAAGAATGCGTCGCGTTCGCTCGATGAGGAGACAAAATTAACGCTCTCAAATATTTAATTTAAATTTCTACCCCCTTCCTCCCCCAAACGAATGATAACAGTGAATAGACGAACTTACCGCGGTGAGAGAGCGTAAAAAGACGATTTAGTTCGCGAAGAAAGCCAGAGGTTTTCGTTTGTGTTAAGCTTCTCGGAATAATCTGATGATACAAGAAGAATGGTTTACTAAAATAATTTGATTGATATAGTCACCATTCCGTGTCGATGTGTAACTGTATCAATTTCAATATCAAATCATCAATGAAAAAATATGCGAGTTTGATTTTAAATTACATCGTGCTATTTCTTCATTGTAGAATTAATTCGTGCGCTAAGTACATCTATTATTGCCTGCAAATTTTGAAAATCGGCACAGTAAGATTTCTCTATAAAAGTACACTAGACGTTTTATCTTTTAGGGCACAACGACTTCTAAGCAATATTGCATTTGTTGTAATAGTTTGTGAATTTATTGCAATGTTTAAAACAAAATATTGTAATAAATAAATAAAACAGAAAAAAAAATATTTAATTCTTGTAACTTCTAAATTAAATAATATTCTCAACGAAGTTTTCATTACAATCGAAGACAAAGGGCTCAGTGCAACCGTGCTAAGCTCACCGAGAATTATGCTTCTAATTTACATCCAATTATCGTATGTAATGAAACTAAATTGTCTTCTATGTAGCTTCTAGCTTCAGCTTAATAAATTCCAGAGTCAACTAAAACAGGTAATAGCTACAAAGCGCCAAGAAATCCGAAAACGTTGAAAGCGTGTGCGCCGTTCGGTTAATCAAACTGTCACTCGAGGAATTCCGCGCGGAATCCTTTCCGAGAAAACTCCAAGTAACTTTTGATTGCTGTCGTAGAGAGCTATCTGGTATATCTACAGATTATATTGACTTAATCACTTCTGATATGTCGTAGATAATTTAAAAAGAAATTCAACTTTAGCGCAGTAGGGAAAGTTTTGTTCGGAGATTATCAGTCAATTTTTGTTTTTCGCTTGAATCAATTGCAAATTTTCTTTGTTATAGCAAACAAGCAATACCTCCTGAATTTAATTGAAATATCTACTTAGTCGTCTCGTTAGTAAAAATATACAAGTCATTAATCTGAAACAGTTTTTTTTTTCAAAGCTTTTTAATCCTCAATGTCAATTACATTAAGATCTTGACTTGGTTCATTATTCAGCTTCATTTAATAAGCAAAGGGCCGGCCTTGTTGCCCTTTAGAATTATTAATTAGAACAAAAATTCTGATCGTTCAGATTTTGTTCGGCAAATTGGCCACTCAAACTCGTAAAAGCCGTCCTAAGGAACTTAACGACGGTCAAAGAGAATAACCGCAAATAAGCTCCGATCTAAGGTCTTGCGAGAAAATTCCGTTTTCCTTAATTCACCCCGGACAGAGTCGGAGCGCGATTGTTTGCATTTATAAAATAATCCTTTCTCGAAACATTTATTCTTTATCTCTTCTTTATCTTTTCTTTACACACATTCACAGAGCTGTATTGGTGCGAGTTTCTTTATTTTATTTTCGCTTAACTTCGAGCCAAATAATATGTTTGCGATAATAGCAAAAGGTGATTGAGTAAAGCTCGTGAAAATGGCGCTAGCACTTTTTTATGACAAACTGAGATCCAAAAGCCAAATACGAACGATAGCAAATAAATCATTTTGAATTATTATTACTATGAAACACTAAGAGAAGATAGATAAGATCCATAGTAAATATTTTAATCTCTGAGTATGAATTAAACTAATTAGTTTAAATTTATTTCAAGTATTACAAAACCAAATAAACAAAAGCCGATCGCAGAAGTAGCTTCCGTATTATTATAGTGTCGTAAAGTGTGATTGCATGCAAACAACGATCGCAGTGAATTGATAGAACACACACAAGTTATGTAGGGTGCATACCAAACTTTACCGAAAACGTGACAAGCCGCTAACCTAATACAAACAGAAAACTATTTATTGATAATTCTTAATCTTAATCTTATAAAAAATTCAAATTGTCACTTGTATTACGGAGCATCGATCAAGAACGACTCGACCGTTTTGGCTGATTTCCATTTTGTTGTTTGTGTAATTGTAAGAATAAGATTTGTTTGGTAGTTTTTTTTATAAAATAAACTTGCAAATTAGCTATAGCACTACCGGAGCGTGATCGGACTTCATTATACGATAGGTATTCTATAAATACGGATCGTTTACGACCTCTGTTTTACTGAAGGATCTTGATTATCAGTGGACTTTTTTGTACTATATATTCCATGAGGAGTGCCCTGAGGAATTATCTGAGATCCCAGTATCTTATTTTTACCATCAAACGGCCCGCCACCGAAACAGCGCTCTTGCGTACGACTTAGAAGCGCTGCGTTCATCCACAGTGCGTTTCCAGAGATCGTTTTTAGCACGGGTCATCCGGCCTTTGAATAACATTCTCCCCATGATGTGTCTTGAACGCTATGACATGTTCAACTTCAAAGAGATTTGGGGAATAAACTCATTGGTAGGCAGCGATGGTTTTTCTAATGTCCAACCACCAACCACCAGATGGTCTGCTCGTCTACATACAAAAGCAATAAAAAATACTAAAACCTATAAGCTTCGTAAGCCCGCCATTTTTTTTGAAGACATGATGGTGACGCGACCCATATTGCCGAAAAATTCCGCGTCTTAATATTTTTTTATAGTATTAAATCGCTAACAATGTAGAAACATCAGTAAATATAAAATCGAATACAACGTAAAATATATCGATTATTGGTTTTCAAATGTAATTTGTAGCACTAATCGCAACTGTCTTTAATTTCGTTGGCAATTTTAAAATCTACCATGTGGCATTTATTGATAATATTTCAGAAAAAACATACACCTAATGCTTATATACTTCAAAATAGAGTTGCTTTTCATATATATTTGTACACTTTCACAAATACAACGTTTTAAAATGTAAAAGACGTCTGTCACCTTCATTTATCACACAATGTAGAAGATTTAAATTTTACATTGTATTTTCTACCACTAGAAATAGAAATCTAGAGTATACCACCTATCATACATTAATTGTATTCATCATGATGAATAAAATATTTAAAATAAAGGAAGCCGGAATATGAACAAATTTGTCTTTTTTTTGTTTCAATATTACTAAGCATCAATTAAATGTGACATGTTCTCAAAGTTAATACGAATTTTTTTTATGTCAATTTCTGTATCGAAACAAACAGAACATATTATTAGTCGTTTTTAACGAGAACTCTTGCGTATCCGTAAATATATATTTGTAATATTCCATCACATATAAACCATTTTAATTCACTTAGACTAAGAAATAATACTGGCATGCTTAAAAGGAAAGTTTATGCTAGCATATTTTAAAAATAAATAAGCCTGTAAAATTCTTACAGCCAGCTCATATGCATTCCATGCCAAATGCAAATGCTTGCGTGCCTATGCATAAAAGGAGTGAAAATAGAAAGTTATGTTCACAAAATGCAACTGAAATCGGTCGGAGCTTTGTAAGCGTTATGGGTATTGCTGTTATTATTATATTACAATTTGATAGTGTATTAATGTATATGAATCGTACATTTATGATTTTTTTTACGTAAATTCATAATAAAAAATTAATAAAAATTCATTGACATTTGCATTTCTGTTTAGGAAACCTATTTTATTCATTAACAATATATTTGGTATTGCAAGTAAAAAAAATTAACTACTATCAGATACCATTATATTCCGGATATCATGGGGTAAAAATCTAACATGGCTGCATTTAATTAGTAATCGCAAATGTTGTGTACTAACTCTTCACGCAGAAAGGAGGGATGTCTTTCTGCATGTATTATTAATTACGAATAAATCGAAACATACTCTAGGGTTCTGTATTGGCGTGGAAATTTTAATAAAGCATTTTTTTGCAGTTCACCCTCTGGTACAAGTGCCAAATCAGCTTGTGGGAGCGCCGACCGGCACTGACGTCACGCTACAGTGTCATGTCGAAGCATCGCCCAAAGCCATCAACTACTGGACCAGAGAGAATGGTGTGTATTTTTTTTTATTTAATTTACTTCACTTTTTTCCGTCGATAGACAAACAAGATAATGTATCACCTATATTAATGGCTCACCGGAGATTGTAGACATCCTAGCATGAATACCTCCTTGGTTACTTTATGAAGTCATACTTGATGTTGTGTAACGCCTTGTCGACTTGCAATAAAATTAAATAATACCATCAGTATGAACTGCCATGAATTTGTCACGTTTTAACAATTTTGCTACTGGTGTATCTCATTAGCAAGCAATGAAGTGAAATTAAAACTGGAATTGTAAGATTTACTCACGATTTGTGGTTTTGGTTAATTTCGTTAACTGCTTTAGACTAGGAGGCCCTTTAGTTAGGCCCTATAGCTTTGTTATGTGACTACAGCACCAACGAGAAAGAAGAATACATAAAACCAAATTTAGTAACAAAATATTCACAGCACGTTTGAACGAAAAATATTGTAAATAAAGTAAAATACAAAGCTAAAGTCATCGGGCAATACTTTCATGGCTTAACTTGAACTTGCCTTAATTAAAAATGCAATAGTACGACTTGGTAATTATAATAATCTTTGATTGCCCCCCAAAGTTGTTTACGGCTCGGCCGTATCTCGTAAACCTTATTAAGTTCCAAGCACGAACTCAAGAACGGCATAAGCAACTAATTTCATTATTCATAAAGCACATTGGAAGCGTCAAAGCACTCATTAAACGAGCCATTATTCACGTTCCTACTATCCTCCGTGACAGGCCACGAGGCCTAGGGCCTGCTTACAAGTTACGGCGTTTTTATGGTTGTATTTAAAGGAAAAATATGCGGTTATTTCATGTCCGTTTTTTCATTCCGATATGATTTATGCTCGTTTTGATTATATGGAGCCATTTTTATGACTTATTAACGACCTCGTAATTATAAAGACGACGACAGCCCAATATATTTCTGTGGTTGCCGTTAATAAATGGGTCTTTATCTATACTTAATAAGGTAGGTTTCTTAAGACATATTATAAATCAGCTAAGCCAGAAGATCTTATATTGTTATTCTTATCAACAAATACTTGTACGCGATTTCGACAATCATGGGTAATAGAAGATACTTCGTCATTATCCACAGGAGTAGTGTCCTCTTAAATTTATACATAGTCGTTCTATTAAAAATAACATGAAATGGTGTCCATGTGATCGAATTATCGATTTACATATGACGAGGTGTAAGCTGGTCAGTAAAGACTAACAAATATAAAAAATACTACAAATGACATTAGTTGTTTATTTACATGGTTATGAGATAAAACATTATTCACAAATAAAAAAAAGGAAGAAAGAAGTGTAAAAGTGATAAAAAATATATGTTTTTATCGTTTATATGTCAGTTCATAAATCAGATTTTGTATTTGGTAAATGTGTGCACGTATTTATGTGTGCGCAAACATATACTTTTTAATTCACCATCCTTGATTATTGAATCGTTTATTTCCGTACATGATTACCTGAATGAAATCGATCTAAGCGATAAAGCAGCCCATTTTTGTACACGTTTATACCGGTATATAAGATATTATATATATTTACAAGCTGACCCGGCAGATTTCGTAGTGACTCAATCGATAAATAAAAGACCTAAACTTTTGTATAAAATAAACTTAAAACAAACAAAAGAATCCGTCCGACGGGGGACCCTCAAAGGGAAAACAAAATTATTATTTTTATTTAATTTATTCCGAGCATTTTCATTTTATCTACCTTTTAAACCTTCTCTGGACTTCCACGAAAGATTCAAGACCAAAATTAGCCAAATTGGTCCAGCCTTTCTCGAGTTTTAGCGAAACTAACGAACAGCAATTAATTTTTATATATATAGATAGATATTGTGGCGTTTCAATAAAAAATATTATTTTATTCGATTAAAAATACTCACTAAGAATAAAAAGTAATTAGGAAACGTTTCAGTTTCAAATGAAATTAAATTCTAAAGAACTAATTACGACGGTTGAAAAATAAATGCGGGAGGTGTAAAAACACGTGCTAACTAATACAAATACGTCTGTCACCTAACATAACACCGCCGGGGTCGGGGACTTCATAATTTCTCATTAAAATGGCGCCCTCAGGATAAAAGTTGCTTATTTAGTGTCCCGGTGACAGATGGACAAAAGCACTTTTCTCTGAGAGCAATAAGCTGCAGATAAGAGTTATATTTTCTTTAACTCTGACGTTAAATAGAATATTGTATTAAAGCGGCTTTTAAGCGCTTTTCATGTCATAGAGATTCTTTAAGCAGTTAAACAAATACGTTCGCTTATTTATACTCGTATATTAAGTCGAGCATTACGCAGACTTCCACATTTGGCTCTGTATCGAAGCCATAAACAAAATTAAATTTAACATGGCACCATTTTATGTGCGATAAGATTTTGTCGTCTTACCATTTAAAATAATTAATGTGAAATGGTAGGGGCATAGCTATAATGCATGATATATACATGTCGGAGACGGTCATTAGTTTGGTAGCTAAACGAAATGCAGCACGATTCCCGAGAGATGGCAGCACGATTGCGGTATAGTCGGAACTCGGCTAACTTCGTGCTACGCCAGAGCCTAGCCGATGGAGGCGCGTAGACGCCATCACACTTATTAACAAGCCTTCTTGAAGAGCGGTGTCTCCGTCTTAAGAACTGTCATATGTTTCGTCTGCTAAGCTCGATCACCCTATTCGCCCCTATGATGTCTGACGATGGTGTTAATAATTGTGGCTTCTCCGACATACATATGTATAATAAATACGAGCTACCTCTAATTTTACTTATTAAATTAACTAAATCAATGTTATTAAATAAATAAAGACTGCACGCGATTTTAGTAAGGAACGTTTCAAAATTTTTTTTACGAAATATTTTTTTTAAATCCAGCACTAGATAATATGCTGTAACAAACTCCTAGACCTGACGACAACGTTCGGTCACTAAATTCGGTTATTAAATAAATAAATATTGCACGAGATTTTAGCAAGGAACGTTACAAATTTAATATTTTTTACGAAATAAAATTTTTAAATCCAGTACTAGATAATATGGTGTAACAAACTCCTAGACCTGGCGACAACGTTCGGTCACTAAATTCGGTTATTAAATAAATAAATATTGCACGCGATTTTAGCAAGAAACGCTTCCAATTTTTTATTTACGAAATAAAAGTTTTAAATCCAGTACTAGATAATATGGTGTAACAAACTCCTAGACCTGGCGACAACGTTCGGTCACTAAATTCGTGTTAGGAATGGATTTACGGTTTACCGCCCGTCGTTCGTTTTGCGCGCCGCACTCACAACCTACTCGTTGCATTTAGGGTTACCCTATATCTATATCTCACTGGCTTATTCTACACATTTATAAAACACTTATCGGACCTCATTTACGGAAAATCTATATATATAAAAATGAATTGCTGTTCGTTAGTCTCGCTAAAACTCGAGAACGGCTGGACCGATTTGGCTAATTTTGGTCTTGAATTATTTGTGGAAGTCCAGAGAAGGTTTAAAAGCTAGATAAATATGAAAATGCTCGGAATTAAATAAAAATAACAATTTTGTTTTTCCTTTGATGCCACCCCCGTCGGACGGATTCCTTTTGTTTTAAGTTTATTTTATACAAAAGTTTAGGACTTTTATCGATTCAGGCACTACGAAGTCTGCCGGGTCAGCTTGTGTAATATAAATATAGAAATTGTGTGAGATGATCCCATCATCTAATCATTACAATCGCAAACTACCTAGAACCACTGCATTCATAGACATTGCTTTTCCAGACAAATTCTTTTCCACGCTTTGGCATGAGTTACGGTGTTTCCCGAACGCTATGACAAGTCCTTCTTCAAACGAGGCTTGCGGATTCTTTAGGGTAGGCAGTGGCTTGGCTCTACCCCTGGTATTTCTTAGGACTTAATCAAGGACAAAGGCAAGGACTTAACCATTCACCTTCATGTCTATAAAATTAAAAATTCTATAATGATATTAACTGAAAAGTTGCTTTCTCAACGCGGAATGGCAAAAACTCTGTTTCTTTTAATTTCTGTTTGGCAACACTAACGGAACGACATCGGCCGCAACATGTGTGAGCGATCCTCGTGCTCGCCAACTGTAACCCAACAAAACGAGCAAAACTTTTTTCGCAGTGCGGTCCACGATCTTTTTTGATTAATTGAATAAATTACTCAGTCAGTCCATTGCTACTTAACTTTTAAAACAACACAAATTTAGGTAAACATTTATAATGTAAAATATTAACTGTAGTAGCAATGTACGCATATGTTACATGATATTATTTTAATAATTGAACTAACGCAGAGTACTTACAGTTTATTTGTTTTGACAACGTAATGTTATATTTGCTGTTTTATGAATGTAAAACTTAACGAGTATCTCCAAAAAACGCAGATAGGGATGTCGATTCAATTATAATATACTACTTATAAAAAAATACGTTAGGCAAGTCTAAGGAATATAAAGTTCTAATAGTTAGAAGCAGATCCGTTCAGAAATGTATATTAACTTTCATGTTCGGTTATGAATGCTTTTTCAAAAATATAAAAAATAAAAACTAACAGATTTTTTATTATTCTGAATTCTGAACTAATTTCATTAAAAATCATAAAAAGACTTACATTAATAATAATAATAATATAATAAATAAATATTTACTAACAATCACGCCACGTTAACTGGTCCCGTGATAAGTTCGTAAAGAACTTGTGTTACAGGTACCAGATAACGGAAATAAATGTAAGATTTTTTATTATACACATACATATACTTAATATACATCCATAACCCTGGAAAAGACATTTATATTTATCATACAAATATCTTCCTTTGGCGGGATTCAAACCCGCGACCCCCTTGTGTAGTGACCATGTCACTTACCACTACACCAGACGGCCGTTGAATTAAATTTAATCTGTAAGAATTCAAATCAAACATTGTTAACATTTCCTATGAATATTGATAAAACTATAGGAAAATGTATGTAGGTATCTAAAATAGATACAGCATTGACGAAATCAGTAAAAATCGAGTAAAATATAAGTACACAAACACACGTGACCACATATTATTCGTCGCCAGATTCCGATGCAGTTACAAAGGCAACCGAGCCTGCCATTACGAGACCAGCCCGACGACCGCGCAAAAAGCGAACCAAATTCTATTACCGCCGATATTCAACAAAGACCGCCGGTCCGTCCGCCTCAAATTGCTTTAGGCTAGAGTCACAATATTTACTGTCGAGTACACACCGCAATATTCATTCGAACCTAAAATCGATTTCAGTTAAAGCAATACTACAGGCGCACATTACTGCACAAGATCTGTCTGGTTTGACGGGACGAGCTTAACTAAACCTAAAAAGTTTGTTCTTTAATTTACAATCTTCGGTTTGCATATATTGTGTTTTTTTTTTGAGTTTTCCTTTTTTGATTCGCGAGCACGTGGTACGTAACATATACGTGTCAGCTGGATAAAAATCTTGATGCAGTACCATAGAATAAAATTGCACTGTTGTTTCCAAAAAAAATTGATCTTATCGTTTAGATCACGGAAACTTCAAAAACTTGTTTATTTATTTTTTAATGTTGAATTGAATTACGATTTTCTTAGAAAACTTAACTGGCATTCAGATTTGATTAATAAACTCAATCTGATTCTCGAACTTATAGCCTTTGAAACACACAATTTTTTTTTTGCAAAAAGCACTCTAACAGAAATCAGTAACACAAACTTTCAATGTAAAGGTTTTATTTATTTATCTTATTTATAAGGTACCTCTGAATTCTTGAAATAGCGTTTTTTTTTATTGCTTAGACGGATGGACGAGATCACAGCCTATCTGGTGATAAATGGTTACTGGAGCCCATAGACGTTTACAACGTAAATGCCGCCACCCACCTTAAAATATGAGTTCTAAGGTCTCAGTATAGTTACAACTGTTGCCCCACCCTTCAAACCGAAACGCATTACTGCTTCACGGCAGAAATAGGCGGGGGTGGTGGGACCACCGTGCGGACTCACAAAAGATCCTACCACCAGTAATTACGCAAATTATAATTTTGCTGCCTTGATTGTCTGATAAAAGATAACTATTAAAATATCAGCTTATCGGTATCGTGATCTCACACGGCTTAATGTGAAGCTTTCAGCTATGGTTTATTATTAAAACGCGTTTATTTCATCCCACAAAAGAATAACTACGAAGTCGATTATAGATTCTCAGGAAACTTTACATTATGGTTGATTAATAATTTATCTGTCTGGCTAGTCATTACTGAACACATGGGAGTAGTCATCCTGCGGCCCATAAATTGCGGAGGCTACAAATTAAATTAGGTAATACATGGCCGTGACGAGATAGGACAAGCGGCGGTCGTCCACGACCGACATGGAATGGGTGTGTCCTCCCCGCGAAACGTCCGTGCGCATACGGAAATTTTTGTTCCGATTTCAATGACCCGTTTTCTAATTTGGAATATTAAAAAAAAAAAAATTTTAATAATGTTGATTTTATGGACCATCCAGTGGCCTTTCATTTTCCTATAGGCGATTTCAAATCAAGTTAAGAATTTGAAAAAAAAGAAATACTAGCACCCTGAGTTTGTTTCCGCTCCTCTTCTCAGAAATACGCGGCTCGTTTTGAAAACGTTATTTGTTGATTAATTGCGACATAAAATAAAATTGAATAAAAGTTTGCGATGATATTGTGTAACCATGTACATATATCTATGTATCTATCCGATATAAACCACTATCACCGAAATGCATACATTTATTGTTATTAAAAAGAAGCTATTCACTACGTAATTCATCAAAGCACCTCATTCCGTAATATTAATCGTTTCATTGATTTACCAATCACAAAATTAATTCTGTTCCAATTAAAGTCACAAACTTCGGCTCGCATAGCGGCTTGAATATTGATAATTAATTAACGAAGTTGCCTAGCAATAAACAAAAGGGGGCGTATCTGCGGATGGGATTTGTTGGCGGAGATGTCAGTTGCAACGAACGGACCACAGATTTGTGGTCAATTCGCCGATCAAGCGCCAGCTGACGTCACTTGACTGGACTGGATGTCTTCACCGTGACCACAGTTATTAATGGATATCAATTGATACCAAAATAATTCATTATTTAAACAACATAAAGATGTGATATTTTTTTTTATTGCTTATATGGTTGGACGAGCTCACAGTCCACCTGGTGTTAAGTGGTTACTGGAGCACATAGACATCTACAAAGTAAATGCGCCACCCACCTTGAGATATAAGTTCTAAGGTCTCAGTATAGTTACAACGGCTGACCCACCCTTCAAACCGAAACGCATTACTGCTTCACGGCAGAAATAAGCAGGGTGATGGCACCTACCCGTGCGGACTCCGAAGAGGTCCTAGCACCAGTGAAATAGCTTAAAAAATATTTAAACAATAAAGTTCCTCAAATCACCCAAGGATTACATTGAATAGGAAAAAGGTTCAGTTATATTGGTAAAGAATTTACAATGCTTATAGACTATTACCAAACAAACTATTTTTGTTACACATAAAAATTAAATATTGAACTAGTAAGCTGAAAACAAATTATTCATACATGTATTTTTTTTCATTCTTAACATTCCGTTTTGAAACAAAAATCGTTAAAATGCAGAGCTGATCTTTATTTCATTCCAAAAATAAACGAAAATTTAATTTGATATCTACACAAGCCGCGGCTGTGCAAAATAAAAAAATACTAAACCGGCCCCACAAAATAAAGCGAAGCAAGAAGAATGCAAGCAATTTTTAATGTAGAACGACGAGGAAGCAATGTGACCCTCAGCCGCTGTAATAATGTAGCTAACGACAAAAATTCAACGGAATCACCCGAGTCTTCGAATGCGGCTCTCTACCGATAAAATTTGCAGACGTCTTTGAATATAATCTAACCTAATAAACTTCCATCTTAATATTATTTATAAATTCGTTTTGAACGACAATATATGGCATTTACGTACGTAAAGGAAGATATATCCAATATTTGATCTTTTTCCGTACATTTGTAATTCAGTTATCTGGTTGAACTGTATTTAAATAGGTCCAAAGAAAAACCTTTATCATTTAAAATCTTTACAAACTCTCTAGTTTTAAAAAAAAGATTTTTCTTAGACGTAATCACTCACCTGTCTATCGTTCAGTGAAAAGAAAGTTCAGCTTTGTAATATAGTATAATAATACTGTTTAAAATATTAATTTTAAGAGATTAAGTGCTTTAAATGTTGTTTTCTTATTATATCACAGAAAACGCAATAAAGTATTTTATTGCTTATTAATTCTGGAGTATTCCATATCATTATGTTTTATTCACAGAAGCCGTAATGCATTCTATTTCAAGGGCTGCTAGAGCTGTCATACTATACAATTGAGACTTAGACCTTATGTCTCAAGGTGATTTGAGCCATTAACGTCGTAATATCTATAGGTCCTGGTAGCCGCCAAGCACTAGGTGAGCCGTGAGCCTATTTACGTATGGAATAACAAGTCATTCTTTAATACTGCGACTCCATCAATATTGATCTTAGCTTTTTGTTAATTTCGTACAAATGTTTCACCTTCGGCTTTCTGAGATGACAGGTTAACCTGTATTTCCAAATACGGGGACATCTTCAAGGACCAAAGCTACAGACTTCAGACCTATGATTTTTGGTTTGACATTTGCCGATGATATGTGTTGATATTTTCCGGTATTGCTTGAATATATAGGAATTTTCGTATTATCCGGTGCGGAGAGAAGTTAAAAGCCATTTGTAATGTACGATTTACAGTTCATATTATGTCACACTTCCACTTAAATCAACATGTTAATGTTTCGACCTGAAATCCAATGAACATTTATTTTGAACAGTCTACATGTGGTAATCAACAGAATATCGAATGCATACGTTAGCAAACAGTTTTTGGCAAACGACATGCCGAAACAATATTTCAATTCGATATCAGGCGGACAATGGCAGGATGCGACCGAATATTAATGGACGGAAAGGTATCGACTATCGAATAAGGGACTATGAAATAAACATAATATTAAATCATGATCTTATTATTTCACTAATACTGAGACGTAGAAAGTTCTTGAGTTTTTACGAATGTATAGGTAAGGTAGAAAATATATTATAAGATTTAATTTCGTACTGATTAGTAGGAGTAGTACAAAATAATATTAGTAGTAATTAAAAGTATGCAGATTTCGAATGCGGCAGTTTCAGCCATTACGGCATCGTGGACTATATTAAAATTATCACTAAAATAATCTGTTGTTGACAATCTAAACAGATTTAATGTTACAGAACTACATAGAAACAAATAATAAACCAAATTTAAAAAAACAGAACATGTTTTGATAAATAGATAAACATACTTGTATTCCCAAAACTATTCCCAAAACTGCTACTGAACTAAGAACAAATGCTTGGTGAATTAATGGAGCTCTTTGTTACAGGTGAGATGATCATTTCAAATGAAAAATATCACATGAGCGAAATCAATCGTTCCGCATACAGCGTGCAAATGAAACTCGTCATCCGCAACATCCAACGCAGTGATCTTGGGGGATACAAATGTATCTCGAAGAACTCCATAGGTGATGCAGAAGGAAATATAAGGTTATATGGTACGGCACTTTCAAATTTTACTTCGATGACATTCCAAGAATTAAAAAGAATACCTAATTTATTAAAACTATGTGAACTGAGTTATACATAAGTCAATTAATATAATGATTTAGGTTAGGTAATATGAACTTCTAACACTTTATTTATTTATAGGATCGCATAAACAACAAACATTTTGCGGACAAATAACATGATAATGACAACTACTAATCGAACCCTACTCCTTATACAGAAATGGAACTTCCCAACCGCAAGTCAGGTGATGAAGATGACCGCGATATCTCGTCTGAGGAGTCCAATGATGTACGGTCCGGTCTCCAGGGCCCGCTTCGGGAAGGAGGACCCCGGGCTGAGGATGCCGGCTTCCTGGGAGGGGGTGGGCCGCTCGCAGGCTCCGCGCCTCACACCGCCCCACACGCAATCTTTTTAATATCGGCCTTTGCCCTTGCTGCGTGCTAAACTTTCCTCAAAAGCCATGTGCAAAGTTAGGGCTTCCTCAACTTAAAGACAATATAATATCGCGCAGGCAAAGATTTATTCTCGACTTAAGAAATCGTTTTTCACGATATTCTTTCGACGGAGAAAAGTCACGAACTCGCTTGAGTTTTTATTCGACCTTAAAATTGTGCATGGCTTTCATTGAGACCAGAACAATGCAGTGTTTAATGTAGGGACTATGCGATTTTCACGGAACGGAGTAATATTCGTAAGTGGTTGTAAATGTACTTTTAAATATGAAAATATACTATAGGAATTAGTTTCATCAAGTGTCAGCTTAACAGGCAGTGTTTGCTTCATATATTGATTACCCCAAGGAAAAGAGAGCACAGATAACACTAGGTTTCCACTAAGTTTGGGCGTCCATGGTACTGTTTTTAGTTTGCTACGTTCTTTTGATTAAAATAATATTGTATGGTATTGTAAATGGAAAAAGAATAGGATTTGCCCAAGACTAAAGCGAAATTTATTTATGAGTATAAAAAATAAACGTAACATAGAAGCTATTGAAGTGTATGTCTGTTAAATAAGTAGTCTGTTTGACAAAAAAAATGAATGTTTTTTTCATTTTGGTTCATTTTTTTGTTATTATTGTGATTTCGCTTAAAGCTTCGTTATCATAACTAAGTGTAAATTATTAAAAAAAAAAGGTTATAGGGATAAATTGTTAAAGTTTTGAATAATGTTAAATTTTATGAAATCATTTTGTAATCAATATTGTACGGATGAGCGAGACAGATGTGTAGGTATGTTTAATAAAAATGTAAAAATATAATCAAGTAAATGTCGTCGTTTTTTTTTGTGTTGTAAAGAGCTCGTATTGTAAACAGTCTCTTATTGGAACGCTCTTAAGACATGTATGAAATGCCTGCATAACGAATATATAAACGGATTTAATTTATCTTTGTTTTTCATTTATAAAACTGGAGATCGTCTTTACTTATACTTCTTCACTTCTTTCTTCACATTCTTCACTTCCACGGTGAAGGAATAACATCGTGTAATAAAAATGAAACCCGCAAAATTATAATTTGCGTAATTACTGGTGGTAGGACGTCTTGTGGGTACCACCACCCTGCCTATTTCTGTCGTGAAGCAGTTCAGTATGCGTTTCGGTTTGAAGAGTGGGGCAGCCGTTGTAACTATACTTGAGACCTTAGAACTTATATCTCAAGGTGGGTGGTGCATTTACGTTGTGGATGTCTATGGGCTCCAGTAACCACTTAACACCAGGTGGGCTGTGAGCTCGTCCACACATCTAAGCAATAAAAAAAAAACTTATGCGTATGAAAATGCACAATAAATAAACAAAGTTGAACCATTACTAAACAATTTAGTAGTACCCGTTTTTAGCAAGCATTCAAAAAAAGCATTGAGTATTTTCTTCTAACGCCCAAATTGCTAGGACGTTTGCATTACTAATCATTACTAAGTCTGATCAAACGCTTACAACATACTAATTACATGAAATACAACTAGTACTTATATTTTTAAACAATTACTGCTTACTAATTTATAGCTACAGTGTCAAAACAAATTAGTAATGTCACGTCTATATCAATTATCTTTAATATAAACAAAGACAAAATAGTTCAGTTTTTTTTTCTTCTCAGTTTATCAACCGATTTTTTTATTTTGTTCATTGACGAACCTTAGTGTGGTTATCTAAGAAAGAAATTGTTAATTTACTTATTGTAAAGTTGTACAAGAAAAAGTCTCAATAACAAAAATGAAATAATAATAAAATAATTTACTTCTCATAAAGATACTAAATATTGAGATCAATGTGCAAACAATAGTTTACATATTAGATGGTTTTCGCAAAATCATAAACATTACAAGAAAGTAATTTTCCCTAACAATTAACTGACTATAAATTCCCACAAGGCGATCTTACCTTAATTTAACACTTAGTCAAAATATACAATTTCGAGGAGGGTCTGACAATTTTCCGTGTATGGTCCCTCTTAATAGGTACCTTCGGGCGAGGCTTGTATAAGTGCGATGGAGATAGGGTGTAACCACTTGCATTAGCGAAATTACCTGGGCCTTTGTTATTGTCATTGCGAAACTAAGACTACGTTTGTTATTGAGGTCTTGTAATAAGAATTTGACTAAACGGTACAAGAATAGTATTTCTCAACTTATTAAGTCTTGACTTAATTAAAACTAATTTTACGCCTTAATTACACGCTATTTATTTTATGAAGTAAGAATAACAATAATAAAATCTGGAAACAAATCACGCACTCTCATCCGGCCCCAATATAGCCCTATGTTATAGGTACCAGAGATTGATAAACATATATGTTTAAATATATATGTACATATGTATATAGGAATAAACAACCAAATAAAGAGCAAACAAACCTGTTCATCACACGAACGATGTTTGCCCGATGTAGAATCGAACCCACGACCCTCAGCGCAATAGTCAGGAGCGCTAACTACTGCACCACCGAGTCTGTTGATTGTCATTATATTACTTCGGACGCATCAAATACTGCACAGTATCCATGGTTACGGACCACTGTGAAGAGTTTGAAGAGCCGGAAATAATAATATTATATTATAGTTAAAAAAAGACATTAAATTAAACAGTGAAAGTTGTCTTCATTATGTCTGCGGTACGCAAAAACCGAAGAAAAAAAAAAGCCTTAACTTAATGTCTGAGACTTTAGCATGAAGTGAAATTCCCATATAAATAAGGATAAAATGTTTTGAAACACTTGCTCAAAAAAAATAATATATGGTAAATATGCCATTCATAAAAACATACAACGGAAACTTCCAATTACTTTTTTTTTTCCTACCTATGCTGATAGCCTTGAGAGGCTATTTCAGCTTTGCCCTAACGTTTATAGGTGAGCTCACGGGGCTCAAACCGGAGAGTTGCTAACACTGACCCTAGCAAGAGCAGTGCTTCGCAGAATCTACCACCGGATCGGAAACGCGACCCACTGAGAAGATCCGGCGAGAAACTCAGTGGGCTGTGTCTGTGGGTTGATTCGCTCGTCGAGCCCTTCGTCGCAAGCGACGGGTTCGACGAGGACGGTGACCGGGTCCAATTACAATGCATTAAAATTTCATCCGTATTTTTTTTTATTGTAGAATCGGTTCATATTAACGAATCATATTACATTACTTTAGACTAGCTCAAAAACTATATTAAGTGGAATCACAAAACTGTAATCAAAAATCTTTATGAACTGCATTGAACTCGTAAAACATTCTAGATGAATGTGCGGCCATCTTTGTTGGGAATAGTGCCTCTCTAACCCAATATAGGCGTATGTACATTTCGGGAATCCCCATGTGGTTTGCCGTCCGTGAGTTTCTGTTTGCATCTTAAGTGCTCACTGATATACGTTCGGGATCGTCTTGATTCAGTCATGACAATTTTTTTCATATTATTTTTCATTCACATTTTAAAAAATATATTTTGAAAACAGACTACACGCAAAAAATATAATAATATTATTATCCTATGAGATATCCACTAATAACAATCTTATTATAATATTTCTGCAAATGTAAACACGAAAACAAATCGTGGGTCAAATAACATTAAGTGTACACTTCGTCAGTGGACACCAGAAAATTAGCGTGGATATAGAAAAGCTTAGTAAAGCTTAAAGCTTAAAATTATTATATTTCAAATTTTGCTGCACAATACAAACATATGGTATTGTTCGAAGAATTTGTACACATAAGTAGTACTACAAAAATTTTAGCAGGGGCCTGACAGCTGTATTTTTTATGTAGCACTGGTCGATTACTTGAAATCGAGAGCCTCAACTAATCCACCCGATATACATATTATGTTTGTTTACAAACATCTCAGATTGCTCGAAAGATTCGCCGCTGGGGACATCCGGTTACAATCTGCATAACAATGGTGCCGTTCTCCGTGCTCCAGACGGATGCTAATGCCTCCTCCATTCATAATTCATGTCTAAATGAAGTGGACGAACAAGCCTTGGCTATAAGATGTCACGACCCTTTGTCTGCGACGGCCGAGTAACAATACAATAATCCGATTCCACCTAAATTCATTTCAATACTAAACTACGAGAGGACTAGGAGATGAGAAACATCGCTAGCCTTGTGGATGTGGTGGTGCTAATAGTGTTTGAGCGGTCGCATAGTGAATAAGGTACCTAGTGTACTACGAGTAATTCTATATATTACAAGTGACCCGCCCTCGCTTCGCTTCGGAAACGTAAAATTTTATTATTAATAGCTGAGTCCCGTGATGTTACCCGCGGTTATTGTCGTACCGCGGGTGACGCCGCGGGGCGAAGCTAGCTTAAAAAAAGTAGCCTAAGTTGCTCCTTATATCATCAAAATCGTTCCAACCGTTCCAGAGATTACCCGGAACAAACAGACAGACAGACAGACAAAAATTTAAAAAAATGATATTTTGCTGTATGTACCGTATATATATTCATATGCATGTAGTAAAAAGCGGTTATTTCAATATTACAAACAGACACTCCAATTTTATTTATATGTATAGATTATAACAGAGCTGAAATTGTGTTGTAGAGCGTATTGTGAGCCCGGCAGCGGATAAAGCCTTTAACCCATTAAATTCGCGAAGAAGTCATACTTTCCGATTTTATTTGACAGTTAAACAATGCAATAATATTTCGGCTGCGAGTATCGATGGGTGAAATCATTCGTTATCTCTAGTCCATAGGCTCCAGCGGCCACTTAATACGAGATCGACTATAAGTTTCACGGCTCGACAACACAATTCCTTGAGATATGACTCCTAAATATGTTCTATAGAACGGCTGCCTCACCCTTCAAACCGAAGCGTTGTACTTCTCCACAGTAAAAATAGGCAAAGTGACTCGTCATCGTTCTTGTCGAACCCGTCGCTTGCGACGAAGGGCGCGGCGCGGCGGGTAAATTAACCCACAGATACAGCTCACTGAGTTTCTCGCCGGATCTTCTCAGTGGGTCGCGTTTCCGATCCGGTGATAGATTCTGCGAAGCACGGCTCTTGCTAGGGTTCGTGTTAACAACATCGTCAGGTTTGAGCCCCGTGAGCTCACCTACTAGTTAAGGTTACGCTGATATGGTCTTTCTAAACCATCAACTTAGGTAGGAAAAAAAAACGGGTTCAAGTAATACTATATATACATACGTATCATCATCATTCTCCTGCCCTTCTCCCAGTCACCTGGAGCTAGCGCAACATGTTTATTATTATACCTCTGTATTTATACCTCTATAACATTTCTTGGCTCACTCCCCTCTTATACATATCGTCTTTCACGCAATACATCCATTTCTTAGGTCTACCTCTTCCTCTAATATATAATATACACATACGTATATCACCTTCAAGTATGTAACTCAGAAAAATATTTAAAAATAATTATTAAGTCTAAGACAAAATAATAAACCTATTATCCCCAACAGAACAGTTAACAGAGAGTCAAAGATAAAAAAAAACAGAACACTTCTTAAACGTGAAACTAACAACATCCACTAACATTTCAGTTTTATTTCTCTAGAAAACTGATAAAAAAATGTATATATCCTGCTATTTTTCTTTTATCCGAGTCGAGGCAGCGTTACACAATTCAGATCTTTTCTACTAAAAAGTGGTTTATTGTGTTCTTAAATAAAGTTATTCAGTTTACTTCTCGGGCATATTGTACGGGCCTATTGTGAGTGCGTCGGGCCTCAGGTGCGGCCTCACCCTTGTGTTCCCTACAATAACGTTATGAATGTCAAAAACACGTTATTTTTATTTCCTTAAGCGATGAATCGGTACTGTTACGACCGATAAAGTGGCTCAATACAGTCTGTGCTACGTTTTTAATTGAGATTATAAATATACAATGCGGTTTTTACTCGGCTATAAAT